CTTTGCAAACAGACACAAAAATCATGGACCTGAAGGGCAGCAGAGCATGCCACCCCAAAATATGGCTGAGAGCTTAGGACATGTCACCCCCAGTGTGCCACACTGATACACTATTTTGAGCTGTAGGCACTTGAGAAACAGGGAATGCAGGGAGGGGCTGTCTCTGAACTCCCCCTTTTCTGCCTAAAGACAGATCCTCCAGAAAGAACTGAATTGCCCTAAATCCCCTCCCTAGGAGTTTCGTCAGGCAGGGAGGATCAACTCTTGTCACAGGAGAGAAGACTAAAAGTTGACCGCACACCAGATACACTGTCACAAAATGTCATACCCCCATCTATTCCAAGGGCCCCTTCATCTTTCATAAAACTCATTCACTCTCCCCCGAGAGGTCTGCTCTCCCCTCCCCTTTTTCCAGTGGGATGGTATTCAAGCCTGAGTTCTAAGCCACCGCAGGGACTTACTCATTTTACCCTGGGTATCTCCATGTGTACATGAGGTGTACATGTTAATACGTTTCTGATTGTTCTCTTGTTCATCTGTCTGATATTACAGGGGTCTCAGCCAAGAACTCAGAAGGGCAGAGGGAAAATGATTTTCCTCCCCTGCAGAACCTAAGCTCCGCATTGGCCCACTCTGCTTTCAGCCTCTCCAACGAGCATTTGCTTGGAAGACTCACTCTGAGGGGAGCCCCCAGTGTCACTCACTGGGAAAGGGGCACACAGGACCAGAGGGGCAGCTTTCAAGGACGGGGCCTTGGCAGGATTTCTATATTCTGTTCAAGCAAAGGGGAGAGAGAAGCGCATAGTTGTTGTAGCTACCCACTTGCTTCCACATCACTCACTTCACTGATAAACTATATAAAGGGCTTCACCAACTCCCTGTGAAGGGTGGGCTTCTGATGAGAGTACCTCAAATGCCAGCTAGTGAGCCCTAGGATGTGCACAGAATCTCATCTACACTCATACAGATGCACGCTTCAGGCCAAAACTTTTTCTTAAGGTAAATTCCTAAAGGACACCTGTGCTCTCCTGACTGTGTTGACTTGCCTGCAGTCACCTCAGCCCTGCATCCTCTCAGGTTCAAATCCAGTGAGAAAGAGCCAGAGAGGCTGCTTCCTCCATGGCTGGATGCAAATCCTAAACTGGGTTGCTGAGCTCATTCCTGAACACTTACTTGCCCAGAAATACTAAGTGGGTTACATGCCTGGGTTACTCGCCACCCCCCTGACCACAGGGACCACGTGTGGGGGAGGAATGACCTTTAAGAAGACTGCTATTGAAAATAGGATAAAATGATGCTGATTGGCCAGATGTCCACCTCAGCTATGTGGAGTCTGGGGCAAATCAGCATGGTTTCCAGACAGGGTCCCTGACCCTTACCAGTGAGGGACACAAAGGGGCTCGGCGGCCCCCTCCATCCACATCAGGATATTTGGGAGCCCAAGTGTTCTTCAGAGTCATGCACAGACAATCTCATCAATGACTGGTTCGTCTGAATTCTTGAGTCATGACCTCCTCCACCCAGATCCCCAGATTTAAGTGAGACAGTATGGACAGCATTTTTCTTCCCATGGGAAATCTGTTGAAGTCTAAATCCCGCAGCTCTGATGTCTCTCCGTATGGATGACATGAAAAGGATGATGCAGCTCCTTTACTCCCAGCACTGCAGGCAGAGTCACTCATCCCTCCCTGGCCCGCCCTTAACAGTCAGGTCGTCACCCCAACCTGTACCTTCCTCCGCAGGGGCAGCCCTTCCTTCTGTGGCATCAGATCTCGCAAGTCTGGGCACTGCCTACCACCTCTCCCTGCACCAGGAGGCTGACGCCAATCTCTGTCCACTGGACCCAAGTGATCTCCCCACAACCCCAGTTTAATCACAGAACCCTCCTTCTCAGCATGCTCAGTGGCTTCCTGCTGGTGTTGGGCAGCCCATACCACCGATCCCGGTTCCTTCCAACCCGGCCTAACCTCACGCGCAAGACTGTCCCCAGGTGTGGACGTTTTCACAGCAACGCAGCTGGTTGCCCAGACTTCACGTGCCCCCTGCCCTTTCCCACCTTCACTCAGAAAGGTGCCTCCTCACAACCCAAATCCAGGCAAATCCCACTTTTTCTCTGAACCTTTTCCTGATCAATCTAGCTTGAAATGTTCTCCTGTTGTGGTGATATTTCTCTGCAACTCTTGCTCGACTGTACTACATATTATCTTATGTTATAGTTATTTTTCGGTCTTATCACCTCAGCTGACTTATAAGTTTCTGGAAAGTCAAGATAAGAATGTCTCATATTTTTCTTATCCCAGTGTTCACCCCAGCATCTTACCAATTTCTTTTGCACAATAAATTCTAAACGATCATTCCATGGAAGTCATTCAGAAAGGATCTTGTACTAAACTCAAGCTGGGGGCAGAAATTTACAAGTTTAATATAACAAAAACAAATATTTGAAATGCAAACCCATCTACCTCTGGGAAATAATTAGGTTTTTTGACAAGAATCAAATCATTTTTGATTGATGATATGATTTACCAAAATATATTAGCATCTGAATACTTAAAAGTAGAAACTTGGCTCAAAATATGCACCCTTAAGAAGTCTTGCCCATCTAATCTCACCTTCCCCCAACTACAGCTATGGAGGAGAATTTGCCAATCGTGAACATGATTCTTATGCATTTACCCTTAACCAGCAACCCCACTTTGAGAGATCTATCCCCAAAAATACACTGGCCAAAAAATTGTAAGAGACATGCACAAAACTCTTCATTGTAGCTCTATTGGTCAGAATAAAACACTGGCATTAACCTCAATGTCCATGGTGGGGGATGACTGAATACTCTATAGTCTAATTACGTGACTGAGTTCTGTGCAGCCGGGCAGAGGCATGACGAACACCTACATACACTGATCTGGGACTTTTCTCCAAAATATTAAGTGAAAAAAGAAAGATGGAGAACAATGTATATAGTTATGTGACTTTTTTTTAATCAAAGAAGATGAGGCCACACACACACACACACACACACATATGTTTATGTTAAACTCATGAAATTGAAATCTCCACTGTTTCCATGATGTGTGAGGCACACTGCTTCTTGCCTGTGTGTACCATAGGAAGTTCTTCCGAGTTTATTTCTGTGGAAGTCAGAGGTTAGGAGCCTGCCTCCCCGACACTGTGGTGAGGCACAGAGTGGGGGAAACTTTCCAAGACCCCAACAGTGCTCAAAGAATTTGGAGGTGGTAGAGGGTAGGTCTTTGTTTTTTTATAAGTTGTTATAGCCCATTTGGTCAGAATATTCTAGAAGACCAGAAAACCATTTCTAGGATAGTCTAGAAAAAAAGTTTTGGTTCTGAGACTTCTTTGCACTCTTAACATTTTACTATTGCAAAGCCCAAAGTACTTTGTAGGAGTTCTATTCAGCAATATTCACTGTGACAAATACTTAAAATGTTCATTTGTCAAGCCTTTAAAATAATAAACCTATTGTGTATTAACATATATAATGTATTTCTTATGACAAATTACTATAATTTCTAAGAAAAAAAACTAGTGAGAAGCACGGCATTGTTTTATTTTGCCAATTGCTTTAAGGTCTAGCATTAAGAATATAGCTAAATTCACATGCTGCATCTGTGGTCAATCTGTTGAAAATCTCCCATCACGTAGCCTCTGGAAAATTGCATTCACTTGTGAGAAAGAGAATTAAAAAGGCAGATAGCATCTTTAATGTGGTCTTCAGACAGCACTCGCTTAGAGGGCAGAGGATATAGGGAGTGACAGAGTTTTGACTGGAAGGACCCCCTGAAAGGACTGCCAGGGGTTCCCAGATGTAAGATCCACTGTCTGGAACCCCCATATTCTCTGACATACCATTTGGCAGCAGGACTATGACAGATGGGGACCAGGGAAACCCAAGCCTGGAAATCAGGAGACAGGGCTATGGTCCCAGCCCCCTGACTATGGCTGTAACTCCAAGCAAGTCCCTTCCCCTCTCTGAGCATTAGCTTCCTCATTTGTCAATTGATGGCTTTGAGCTACATGGATGGATCTCAACCCAGGCTACACCACAGAACCACCTGGAGGGCTGCAGGAATGCCCAAAAACCAGGCCCCAGTCCAGAATAATCACACCAGGATTTCTGCCCGAGGAGCCTGGGGTCAGCGTCTGCAAGTAGCTCCCATATGGCAGGTGAAAGGACACTGGGGCCAACCTAACAGAGCACTGAACATCAAAGCTGGCAGAAATGGACTACAC